TCCTCTGCTTCCCCCTTAATGAAGTCGAAAAAGATATTTCTTTTAAAATTGAAAAGGGGACAGAAATGGACATGGGACTTTGAAAGCTACAAATATAGGCAACTGGCAACAAAGGTTTATATATATCGAATGTTGTCAGCAAAGGGAAACCTAGCCAGCATCAGTGGTCAACTTTTCGCATACTGAACCCTTCCTCAACTATTCAAAAATCTGAAAAAGTAGTATTATAGCCCTTTAATCACTGGAAGTAATTTCATTGACCTTTTAAATTTTTCACAAAAGTTGTATTTGGAAAACAGTCCAGAATATTTCAAAAGTCAAGAGAGTGCCATCCTCATCGTAGTGGCTAACGCGGCCGGACAAAGTTTGCCGCCCTTAATACAGTTGTGTGACCGTACAAAGCACCAATATAGCGTGCGCACATGGTGCATACATCGTTCGCACACCGTCCGCACATGGTGCACATTTGGATTTAATAATCGTTAGCCCCGTTGTGGGCTTCTCTTCGCACAAATGTGCAATTTGGTACAATTGGTTTATCAACATTACGGAATAAACAAAATCCGGAAGGCTCCTATGGAATAAGGAACACTGTATATATAGAATTCTAATCATAAAAAAAACCAAAATATTAATTAAGATCATGTTCAATTTTAGTAAGCATGCTGCACAGTTTTATAGTGGCTGTTAGACGGTCAAAAATGGATTTGGCAGCCACGTAACAGGACAGGTAAATAACATTTTGATGAGTGACTTGAGTTTAACCTGACGCCCTGTAGCTGATATAGAGAACCGATATATGATACCATATGACTGTTATTAAAACACAACTGGGCGTTTAGATATTTATTATTTGCATTCGTTTTGCTTTATAACTTCCCATCACCTGGATTTTCACACCTTGCCGAGTAGCGTAAGCGCCCCGGAAGAAAAAAACTACGGTTTGAAACGCACATGTAAGCGCCGCAATCATTGCAATACAGAAGTTACCTATACGAGTTTCGGTTCAAAATATGAAATAATAACGGACGAAGACGGATCATAATAGGCTCTACTGAGCTTCTGGCTGGCATTTGGTCACCCTGTAAAGTTAGGCCGTTCAAGTAATTGCGTGATATCTGTGGAAGATATGGTATTTAGTTCAGACTGATCACGGTACGGACCTGTGTTTAGCTGACAGGACGGCATCGAAGTGAAAGCGATATACAAAATAGCAGAAGAGAAACAACTTGCATAAATGTACGTACATGTACATACATGTATCTACAAGATGCCTGATCTTTAACCCAACTGAATATTAACATTTACCTTTTTTTCTATGATTGTTTATGATTGTAAAATAATATTTTAGTAATCTTTTCACAGTTTATGAATAACATATTTGTTTGTATCTATAACATGCGTTAAAAAGGAAGTAAAAGTAATACAACAATGCCAAATCACGTTGTTAATAAAGCGTTTGTCGTGCAATATAGCGAGAGAAGGATTGCTTTGGTTAAAGGATTATTTAGCCTATTGCCTGCTGATGTCCATTAAAACAGTTCCTGTATTTGTATAATGCATTTGTGTTTAAGGCGTATGTTTCGCTTTCTATACGTCAATATGAGGCCGACTTCAGAGGCCAACGAACTATATACGCTTACATACGAAAAATTACACACAAAAATAGATGTGTAAAGAAGAAATTTGAAGTGCACTCGCGGAGGTGTTGGGTAAAGCCTCTACCTCCGCATTTCATAACTAATAACAATACATAGCTATAACAATAAGAAGGAGGTAAACAGGAAAAAGAATCATGTTGGTGTGTGATATGACTGTCAATGGTAGCATATATTGGATTTTGATTCTACCAATCAATTCAACAGATCATGATTGGGTTGATATAAAAACATAAGATCACTTTGAGTGAAAAAGGAGGTTGTCACCATCTGTTACACGCTGAAAGAAAAATTACCGGGCCGAACGCCTTCGGACCAGCTCAGCTAAAAACAGTAGTTGTTATTTCTTTGATTAACGTTCAGCATTTTGGGTAATGGCAACAACTGGCTACCCGTTGTCAGTATAATGTGACCTGACAGAATGTTGTGCAGGGTGCCTTCGACTTTGAATTTCATTGAGATAGCACTATAAAGTCGGCATACGATCCGCGATCTCACAAGCAGGCAATTGCAACAACATGCCCTGCGTCAAGCACACATACCTACATGCACGCATACACAACACACATGGAGGCACGTCCTTATGTGACCTTATCTGTTAATAGGACGTTTAACAAAACAAAACAAAACAAAACTTGTAACAAACAAAGCATTTATTTATAATCTTGATGGATGTTTTAGGAAAAATATATTTGAATCAAAGTAGCTATTGCATTTTGGTCAATTTTGTTAACAGCATGCCGTTTGAAACTGTTGTGCTTGTTAAGCCTGTGTTTGCCGTTCAGGTTCTCGTATCTTTTAATAGTTGAATAATTAATAGTAAAATGACTAAGAACTGCAACTTTGCCATCAACTTTTGAAATTAATAGGGAAGTACGACAGAGAGGGGTCTCACAAGTGCTTCTTACACAAAAATGTTTTCTTTTTTTTAAAAAATACTCTTTAGTTTTAGTGATTTTCAGTTCGAGATAAAATATTACAACTAAATAATAATTAGTATTATGCATTAAGTTAATAAGGACTCCACACAATTTATTTGCACAATGCTGAGGTATAGTCCCTATAACCTTCAGACATATGTACATTTTTGAAGTTTTGTATTTATTTCGATTAATCAACAAACCAGTAAAAGTTGTTTCAGTAGCACGTTGTGAATCGTACACGCTGGTAGCCTGTCTCGTTAATATAATCATAGCCAAGAACCATAGCATATGGATAGATACTGAACGCATTGGCATGTTACCGGGCCAGAAACAACGCTAACGACCCAGTTGGTTCGAATTCGTGGTCCTTTATTTTAGGGCTTAACCCGAGCAAAAACCCTAAAAATGCAAATACAAATAAACAGCTACACACGGTTACACACAGCCCCTCACATAGCTACATATATACCAAGGGAAATAACTCCTACTCGGTAAACTTACAAGTTTACCCTATTTCTATAAAATCCTTATATTTTCACGTAACGTTTATATATACAAATGTTTCCATATTCCTTACATATATTATTAGATAAGTTTGACAGAACTTGACAGAATATAGTTATCTTTCATTATTGAATATAATTAATAATGATACAGCATATGGTAATTTACACAGAATTGTCTATACATTCTCACTATTGAATGCATATTGTAGTACAAATAAATAAATTATAATCCTTAGATGAAATCTATAGAGTACATACCCTGCATAATTTAGTGTTTTAGTGCCATTTTCATTTTCACTTTTCCAACACTTCAATATAAGCTAAATGAAAAAAATAAGGTAACTATTAAAACTCATTGTAAAACAACATTTACCAATAACCTATACATAGTTATTTTTGAGTATCAATATTTTACTGAACAATATTGACTGGCGACCTTCAATGTCCTTGAAATAATTTGAATATTCACATGGCCATTTTGTAACAAAAATACCATTATTATCCTTAATTTAAATGTTAATAATATCTATACTTTACATTTACTGCATAAAGCTTGCTGCAATAACAGGATGGTTACTTGTAAATAATCACTACAAATTTGAATAACATATCAAGCCTTGGAATGACTTACCGGTTAATGTCCTGACTGTGGAGTCCAGCACACGTGCCCACCTGACTGACTATCCATGTACATGCATTCCCTAGCCTACCCTGATCTTAGCACACGTCTTATTTTGATTGGACAGTCTCAGACCAATCAAATGTCATTCTGTCTGTCAGGTGTCATAACAAGTACAGTCTTCACAGGTACAGGTAACACACCAACATTAAGGATGCATTCTCCTTCATGTCCATGGTAATATTATATTGGTACACCAGTAAAAGTATTTAAACAATATATATACATTTAATCAATATAAGCACACACTATACATGTACATAACACATGATAACTAAACAATCTCATACTGCCACAGGAACTTTCCGTATTCGTAAGTGAATTACAGTGAAAAGAGATAACTGTTGATAGAAAATATTTATGTTTCACATGCACAACTGTTTTATGAATGCCAATGGTTTCTTGGAGGTTGGGAAATATTCAGCATATCGCTGTCCTTTTTATCAAACCAAATTTATGAGGTACAATAGTACTGTACATCTTTGATTTTCGTCGGAATAAGTGAAAATAAGAAAGTACATAGGACTGTTAAGAAAGCATTTTAACTACATTAACAGCCTTGCTCTGAAACTTCTATAGCACATTTTATTAAAACAAATTGGCAAAACAAATGGTCTGAAATACATGCAATAATTGCAATACAACCTAATGTAGGTTCAAGTGTACCGAGTAGACAGCAGAGAGGGAGTTGGCCTTTCGCGACTGCGCATTGTCACGCATATAACGTAAGGAAGACAAACCTTAACTTATTGTCATGTTCATCTTATCCATTTAAAGTCAAACATTTTATGATTGAATTAGCTGATTCCATATATCGTCTATGAAAAAGGTAATTGGATACAGTTTCTGTGCAAAGATAAAGTTATGATTATTTACACTCAAATGATCACCAATATGAGACATGATATCTGTTGTAACCATTTGATCACCAACATGAGATATGATATTTTTTGTAACCATTTGATCACCAATATGAGATATGATATCTGTTGTAACCATTTGATCACCAATATGAGATATGATATCTGTTGTAACCATTTCGTTTTCTATTGATGTAGTTTAAAATGACGAGACATTTTACAATACAAACGCAAAATATCTTGGTTATCGCAGCTTTCTGATTAATTATGGTCCATTGAAAAAGTTTACTGCAATAATGAATAACTCTATACATAGTTCAAATATCAATAGTTCGATACCTTGACAAGAAGTTTGCATTCACATAATGAAAATTTCAATCAACAACATATGGCAACGGCCGGTCCCGTTCCCGAAGAAGTCTATAGACCTTTTCCAGATCCATCAGCATGAATGCCACGAGACCGATAGCGATAATGCCGATCATTATAAACCCCATGATTTGACTGCTCCCCCTGGAGTCAGGAGCGGAATTGAGACTTCTTTTGTACTTGGCTGTATCCTTTTTGTTTCGCCTCAGTTGAACATTTAGATCTTGAAGAATCCTTGCCAACTCATCCGGAGTAGGAGGTGATGGGGAAGATGTTACTTGTGATTGTGTGGTCGCAGAGCACGCACACTGACTTGAGGGCGCTGTAGAGGATATTTCTAAATTAATAAAACAATATTTTTATTTAAAACAGTGAACAGTACGCAGAGTAACCCTACACTGCTTATATAACAGGATCGAATATCAGAAAACCTTGTGTATATATATGTGTAGTTGCGTCACACATAGTTACATTTTACGTCCCTAAGACCAACCGTATTTTGACGCATGTGATCAGCCATTTACAGTCAAACATTTTATGATTGAATGCGCTGATTTCAAATGAAATTATGATAGATTCTATAATGCAACGTATATAAAAGTTTTATCTATTCAGTTTTTTTTGCAAGCAATCAATATATGATTATTTAAACTCAATTTTTGTTTATAGGAAAATCTCATATATTTTAAAAATAGTTCGTTCACTGTTTATGTAGTTTTACATTTGTACCTTTCAGTTTTTTATTTCTAGTTTGATGTTTTCATTCCTGTGAACATAACAGTATTGTTTGGCTGTAAATGACATGCAATGTCGATGGGCCGTGAAACATTACAATAACAAAAACAAATATGATTTCTTAAGTGACCATGTTTCTATTGTTTAGATTTTTAGTATTTAACATACCTGAAGGACAGACAGTAGACTGATTGTTTTCGCCTATACAATCAAGTCCAGCACCAACAGGAGCGGGATTTGCGCATGATCTTACTCGAATGCGTACACAGTCTGTCCAAGAGCCCCACGCGTCCCATGCACCATCAATACCTTTTGATTGAATTATCAATAACAAATGCGAGTTATGAAATGTTGAAAGTGTGTATTGATACTATGATCGTGTCATTTAAAATAATTCCATTCACACGATGATAATGTCTTTCATTACCGAAACAATTATTAAATTATGTCGACATGCAATGTATTATTTATAGATACATTTGTGCATGCATGAGTCTGTTTTGTTTACATGATGGATGCTTGGAAAATAAACAAAAAAAATCTATATTCATTCTGCATTTGTCATGACTTCCTTTTTGGTTTAACAGATTTTGACTTGTGTCGGCGTGCCTATAAGAAAAGCCTTATATTGTTATTTCCCCGTCTGATATCCCTGGGGAAGTATACAAAGTTATTGTTGAATTATTCAGTCTTAAAAAACAAATTCCTATAACAACCTACATCACTCGACATTTTCATAGATACCGATACATGTCAAAGATAATCAAAATATATTTTGCCAAATTAACCTACCGCAACCTGACTATGAAATTGACGGTTCTGCAAATATGCGGCACTTACCGGGACAAGACGTATCTTCAAGACAGCTACCGATGTCAGTTCCATTGCCATCGCATTGACTGCCACCATGCTGTGGGGTGGGGTTAGAGCATGACCTTGACCGAGTGTGCGTTCCAGTAATTATCAGGTCACTTCCGGTATACGGATTACATGTCATAGAGCACCGACCCCAAGGTTCCCATTTGGACCAATTTCCATTAACTACAAAGTGAAAAATAAATTTCATTTTAAGAAGTACTGGTTCATAGCTTTTCGGTGAAAGATGTATATTTTCTTTTCAGAATGAATACGAATTTAAGCAGAGATCTTTAGGACCCCGCGGATGCCTTTCGTATTCGAGGTGTCCGTCCGTCCACACGTCCATTTGACATTGTGATATACCTTGAAATGTAAACTTGCTATACGCGATAAGGGTTTGACATTTTCTAAGGTCAAGGTCACTGTAACTAAAAACATACCAGGGGTAGTACATTTTTTTTTCTTCTTTATTTAATTTAGCAAAGTGTTACAATGTGATATACAGATGGTCAATAAGGGATTAAAAAATGTAGATATGAAGGCACATAGCGGGACCTTTACTGACATGTCAGTGCTAGAGTTCTACCTGATGAAAATATCAGACTACTTACCAAAACACGAATATGAATGTATCGTGGCATGTTTTCTGCAACGTAATATACCATGAATGAATTAGCATGTATATATACCAAGATATGAGCTGTCCCACTCTATCGCTTGTCTTCGGTATGGTCTTTCAGTTGGGAAGCACTCAAAACCCAGCAGAACCAACATACTGCTTCCAGCACACGCGCATACAATATTCATATGAAGTTGTATTTGATATTTGTCAAATTCTCAAGTCATTTAAAGGACGTGCCTCCTCCATATGTGTAATGTATGTGTGAGTGCTGGCGGTAGTATGTCGTACAAATTAACAAGATAAATGTCGTACAATAACCAAACAAGCATTCATTTACTATCTGCAGGACGCTTACTTGGGCAGGGGCACGACGTAGATTCCACAGGAAGGTCATCTGATGGACAATCAAGTCCGCCAAAAGTAGGTCTCGGATTTGTGCAGGTACGATGTCTGGTTTGTTTACCAGACGTTGGTGATGTGGAGGGCACACATCCCACGCAGTAACTCCAGGCACCCCAGTCAGTCCAGCTTCCATTCACAGCTGTCAATAAAATGTGCTATAACAATAAGACTATTAAGTAGCTGGCTTGATATTGTCGCAATACAAAAGAATAAGCAGCGGGAAATACAAAAACACGGCCAATACAAGAACAACACGGCCAATACAAGATTTTACGCGAAACGAACGCATCCCGACACTCGGAATCCTCTACGTCATTTTCAAGACGCGTTTGAAATGGTCGGTCTAACGTTACGATATCGAAAAGAAAATGGATGACAAACGGGGAGCAGACGAACAAATGAACAAAAGATGAGGAATTGTCTCAACAACAATGACTGAAATGAAATTGGAGTGAATGGTTTATATAAGTGAAGAATCAGTGGACTTGTATACTTCATATTCGACACGATTTGTGCAGTTGGACAGTCAGTCATTGTGCCAGGTAGAAAGCTTATACGTTTTATTGAAGAGATCAGCGTTCTTTGTTTATCCTTAGCATATCTATGTAATGGTTCAGTAAGCAAATTATGTTACGACCATAATTGTATTAGTGACATTCTAATTTTTGATACAAACGTCACAGAGCGACAGACGGACGAGGTTATATTGTTAACATGATGGATGCTTGGAAAATAAACAATATGTTTTCTATATTAATTCTGCTTTGTCATGACTTTCTTTTTGATTGTCACAAGTTTAATTGAAAAAGACATTATTGATGGGTTATTTCTGTAATGGCGCGTTATTAGTTCTCGGCTTGCTACATTTACCTTCATCTTTGCATCAGGCCAATGAAGTAGGCCTCAGACCAATATCTAGGCCAATACAGATAATAACAAATCTATCCTGATTGTGATGGGCTTACAAATAGAAGAATACTTGATGATGTGCATTTTTTTATTGGAAAATCCCGTCGTTTTAATTTTTATATGACTTAAAGCCATGATGTTAAACAAAAATATACTATATATTCTATATTACATCCAGGAGATGCTAGTTAAGCATGACTACTGTCTATTACGTGTACTTATCTTGACATTGTAAATAATTACACTCTATATGTATTAAATGAATTTATTATTTCTAATTGTAACAGTTGTTGGTAGCAGTGACCTGTGCAATATATGCACATGGACTTTTGGTCTAAGCCTGCCAATATCTGTCTATGATAGTGTATATATATGCTGAAATAAATGTATTTGTACATGTACTTGTATGTGTGTGTAAGTGTGTATGAGGTGTGTGAGATGTTTCCTTCATGAGTTACTTCCCCTTAGCCTTGTGTTAATATGAATTATTTTGTGTTATTTTTTTCATTTGCAACATGTCTAAAATATTATGTCTCCTTGTTTATTCTACTTTGGCCATTTGACGGAGAGAATGTATATAGGCTTTGCCTGTTATTCAATCCAATTGATTACGACATCTTGTCAATAAAATTTGATGAAATGAAAAATGAAACAAATCAATAATACTACAGTATTGCTGTTGCAGTACGCATAAACAATTCAGGTCGTTTTCCCTGTAATATGACTTTAATTACGATTTCTTGAATCAGATTTGCGAGTATAGGCTTATGGTATCTTCTTCAATTTTATATAATCATAATTTTGCCGTGCTATAATTGATATTTATCAAAGAAACCTAAAGACACAAACTTCAATTCGACGATGTGACGAGACGAAAACCTCGAAAATGCCATCTTGGTGCACGAATGCTTAACCTAATACAAACCACCAAATACCAGTCAATATCAGAATTGTTGCCCTTTTCATATACGTTACACATGCAGGCATACACAACACACACGCAGGCACGTCCTTGAATGACCTTATCCGCTGCAGGGACGTTAATCTCTTTACAGCCAACCAACCTTGTAATGTTCATAATTTATGCATACATATTTTCAGACTTGAACAACAATATAGAAAATCATAGCTGGTTGTTCCAACGTAATTTATATGTATTTGCAGATTGTCTTTCCCTCTGATAAGACATCATTTGCTTGTTGTACTTCCCAATGCCTTAGCAACATCTGGCAGAATGGTTTACATGTATTAACAAAAGTGAAACCACAACAACAACGTTTAAACTTAGATAAGTGTAACGCAGGATTTATACCAGTATTGAAAATGTTAAAGTGCAACCGTCTGTTAAATACAGACATGCTTGTTACTTTTATTTTCAACTTGAATTAATATATAAAAAAAAATCATAGATCAACGAATCTGAAGGACATCCACAACTTACGTGGACAACGGTCCGGGGTACACGTCTTTTTCTCTACATCCACGTCGCTTTCTAGACAATTTTTACCGTCATACTTTGCAGAGCATCTTCTATGGCGTTGTTGTTGCCCGGATGGATTGATGTCAGATGTGCAGGTAACGCTACAGCCTCCCCAATCTGACCACGGTGACCAATTACCATCGACTGCAGATCAATAGTAAAATAAAACCTTTCCTAGTTTATGAAGGTTTTCTAACGTCCTCCGTAATTACTTGACGATCATTTCTTAAAAGAAGGGAAATGATCTTGAATTTTATGCCTACAGAGCTGCTTTTCTTCCTATACAAATGTTTTCAGAAAAGTGATGTCTGTTATGAATGAATATAAAATGTGCTGATATACAATTCTTAATCTTGTATGGGAGAATATTATTGATGATTATGGTTTCAATGAGCAGTAGTGACCGTTTCTTCCGTGTCATTGGTTGGCTGTTATAGATCTAACTGGCGTCAAATAAGTCGCACTGAGCAAAATGGACAACAGGTTGAGAGACCGAAGCAAAAAGTGTCGAATTTTGCAGATGACGGACAACATTTGTTTGAAACGACATTGTATGTTTTTCGTTTACTATCTTTCTACCCCTGCAGGTTGGAATATGTAAAATTAGGCAACGGTTCTACCGTTTTCATTATAATGTTAAAGGGCTAAATGCTGTGCTATTTGCCTCCGGTATGGTGTTTCAGTGATGCAGCACTCTAAAGTCGGCATCAGTTCTGCACTATCGCAAGGAGGCAATTAAACCAACATAATCTGTCACCAGCATGTACATACCACATGGAAGCACGTCCTTAAATGAACTAAGCTGTAAATAGGACGTATTTGCATGCCGAAAAGTGAGGTAATTAATAAATCGTGTTGCAAATGTGTTGCAATATCTGTGTCCCAAAGTAGATTGTTCAAATGAAAATCCTCGAAACTACGGTATAACCTAAACGACGTCGAAAGAGACATAGTACCTGTTTCTGGTAACGGCCCGTAGCTAGTTATTGACTACATATAAACCGCTCACGCGGGCAGAAATGTTTGCTATCTGGACATTTGATTTAACTAGATTTTGGTGGTGTTTTAGCATCGTGACTGGACACTTGGCGTATACAATGCCAAGTAGTCAAATGTATACAGCAAATTGAGAAAGAACAAGTAAGTGTATTTTGTTAATCATCAACAAAATAACTACAAACATTTGTATGTGATAGCGGTTTTCAAACATATTGTATTAAACATGATGCTAATGAATCGTTACAACCAGTTCAGAATTTTATTATCGCTACTCATTTTTACGCTTGTGATATGATTTTGCAGGTCATATTTTGGCTATCGATATCGCGAAAATATTATCCCCGAGGAGATATCCTGCTTTACGGTATGATAAAAACCAAGCGACTAAATGCAACGATTTTAAGCAGTTTCCCTACGACACAATTATGATGCCCAAATGATGAAAAGTTAGATACAACTAAGAACTGTAAGCCAGAGACTAACTAATAACCCCGCCCCTATACAAACCAGAATTGTAAGCTAAAAGCTTACTAAGGTAAAGCATTGCAAAGCAATCCATAGTCTTCCACCAGAAATTATTTCTTTTTTGGCTGAGCTGTACAATTGTTTAAATATATAGGTCACTGACATACTTCCTGTACTCCCTCTCAATGAGTTAAATACCATATCTGTAAACTTTCATTGAAATCGGCCAAGTCGTTTAGGAGGTAGACCAAGTTTCTTTCAACTAAGGGTCCTTACTCCTTTTAAAAGGATCGGAATGAACAAGTACTTCTTGGATGCACAATCTCAGGGAGCAGTTACCATATATGTAAACCGTCTTTAAAATTGGCCCAGTAGATTAGGAGAAGCTGTAAGGAGAAGGATTTTCAACAAATGGCCATAACTCCATAAAAAGGGTTGGATGAAGAACATTAGCGCGTAAATAGCATATCTGAAAACGTCCGTTACAAATGGCCGCATAGTCTTGGAGGAGTTGTATTGGCAAGTACTTATCAACAAAGGGCGATTACTCCGTAGAAAAGGGTCAGATCGAAAAATAATACACCTAGATGCACAACATCAGGTGGTAGTTATCATATCTTAAAACCATTATTGAAATCGGTCCCGTAGTTTTGGAGGAGTTGTCTGGCACGGATAATTCAACAAAGGCCCATAACTTTGTAAAAGGGGTCAGAATGAAAAATATAATACGTGGATGCACAAATTCAGCTGGTATTTATCCTCTATGGAAACTTTCGTTGAAATGGACAAACTTTTTATACGGACAGATAGGCAGACGGACGGACCGACAAGCAGATTCCAGTATATCCCCTGACTTCTCTGCTGGGGGTATAATTATTATATATGTATATTTTATTACATCCAGTTTGGTAACCTTTGATTTTTTCTATGTTTTTAAAATTAGATATATTTATATCTATCGCGTCTTTTTTTACATCGATGGTTGGCAAACATTTCTTGAATTGAAGATGAAACAAAATTAATAAGTAGACAATTGGTACTTACTGGGGTAAGTCGGTACAGCGCAATCCTCGTCTATCTCTCCGTCTCCATCATCGTCTAGTTTGAAAACATATTACTTACAAAAGATTTATTAAACACAAGATATGTGAACAACTTGTTTGACTTGAAAATACAAAAAGCAGAATTATTTGTGCTTTGTTACATGTAAGTATATTGAGGAATAATTAATGCGATACATACGATCGCACTGAAAGATATAACGGAACTTATAGGCGTGCTTTTATCATTATAAATGGATGCTTAATGTGATACAAACACACCAAGAGAATTCTCCAGCTCCTCGTCAATCAGTCCATCACAATCGTTGTCAACTACGTCACCGAGGACACTTGTACTGCGGCTACAGGGCTTGGTTAATAAATAAAAATAATGACATGCATTTAGCACATGTTTGCTTTTGATATATAGACTTTCTGAAATTGTTATTTTTCACACTGTGACGGAAATCAAAAGTGATATTTGTCGAAGTGTGAAAAAATCATTATAAGTATAGACCAATCACAGCGGCACCTTTTACTTCATGTAAAGTAGCAAAATCTCGGTTAAAATGCAGTCAAAGAGACATCAGAATAAGTGTCAGTTTTGTTACATAAACTTTCAGAAAGACAGATCATTCAATTTGACCAAATCTTAGCAAATAACAGAAAATGGTAGAACTGCGTTGAGTTTATAATTCAAAACGATGCACAGCCTTGAGTGAAATTAGTTGCCTCTGGGAAAGGGACAGCTGATCGAGTTTGATTTTCTTCTTTCACTGACACACATGCGGTCATACACAACACACGTCCTTAAATTACCTTAGCTGTTGCTAGGACGTTACTCACTGTACAGCCAACCAACCAAACAACGTCCGCTAAATAAACGCCTCTGCAGAAACTACGGAATCTGCAGCGTCCGACATTACCTCTCATTAACTCTGTACTAAAACCTGTAGGATGGAACCATGTGATAATAGATATTAATATCCTTACCCCATTAACTGTTGCCATGCGTGTCCCGGCCGGAATGCCGTAGGTCTCCCAATTCGCCGTCCCGTACAGGTATCCTCCGAACACCACAATAGGAGAGATGTGGTAAATAGCGTGATATCCGTCAGAAACTATGACGTATCCTCCCACAAGATCCGTGCCGGGAATGTCGACGAACACCGTGCTGTCTGGCAGGGCGTTGTTGTCCACTCTGATACCTGACCGCTGGTCAGACTTAATGACAAACATGAAGAAGTTTTCGTACGTCCCCCAAGTGAAACGTGGAGTATTAAAACGATACTCCGACTCGTACTGCGCAACGGGCGTAATCAGAATCATGGCAGGATCATGAATATCGTTTCCATCATCGACGGACTGGCTATGTACAAATTGAACTACCATAATGGCATTATTAGACACAAAAGAACAGTACTTTTCAGAAGAAAAATGCAATAATACAAAGTCCCCAGGTTTCTGAAACGTTTTTTCAAAATTGGTTCTATTACCGAAGACGTCAGAACATTCTACCTTGAGGACAGTGTTTGCAGAACTGCTAACGACTTTGAAGAAGTCTCCTACTTTTCTACCAGGGATTGGAACTGCAGCAAATTTTGTACCCCATTTGTCTACCGACGATAAGTATTCTACCAAGTGGTCACTAGATCTGGTGTTGTTCCCAATTTCAGTTCTCTTATTACCACTTAAGAAGCCAACTGGCTTGTCAGTGCGGACGAGGGAACCGGTGAGATCGCCATGACTCTGTATCTGTACTGAATCAAATTGATCAATCAAGATCCGAATCGTATCACCGGGTCCATACGTGTTGTTATCAAATTGAACCACGTCCGCATCTGGATTAGTTGAGAGGGTTATTTTTACCTCTGTGTTATCTTTTGTGCCAATTACTACAAATTGTGATGGTTGATTTGTCGGGAAATAGCTTACAGCATAGTACCTTGTTCCTAGTGCTGGTTCGGGAAGGGCAAGAAACGCGTCATTTGTGTACGGCTCGCGGTTCACAGCAATAACCACTATTTCGTCAGTTGATTCTACAAGAATGCCCTTTGGTGCTACCTCTGAATTTTCAAGTCGAATGGAAATGTTAAATGTCAGTTTCACATAATCTTCCTTTGCTATTGTGCGTGTTTCGGAAAGGTCGTAACCACGAAAGAGGGGGGCGTTGACGTTAACAGTGACAGGATCTCCGACAGCGTTCATTATAAAAAGTTCTAGTTCCTGATTATATTTTCCTGTGTAGTAGTTATCCGAGTAAGCCAGGAAAAACTTTCTTCCCCGATTAGTCACTCCACCACGAACACCTGAAAGAGGATAAATATTATTATTACAAAGAATATAACACAACATTGACCGCCTCGGACAATTATCCTGACGCTTCTGTTTTGCCCTTTTTGTTTCTTTTTTACCCAAGAAAAAAAGTGGATGAAAATTGTATCTGTGCCTGACCAAGACAGGGGACGTGACATGGGTAATTACTGTGTTTTGCTTAAATGGGTAGTGGCTATTATAATATGACCAGATGGGATGTCATAATTTCGTTCCCATGTATGACATTTCAGTAAGATTCCACTTTAAAGTAGCTGGTGAGTTGCCTAACAAACTCGGGGACAAGGTCCCTTAGGGCGGGAGCGGTACTAAAGGTTGCATCTGGTAGCATGGTTGTGTTTGTTTCTTCATGCCAAGTAATTGTATATATGTTTATGGGGTGGGGATATCAGCTATTCTAAGTTGTGACTCGAAAACTTTAGACAGAACCTGGCTCAATTCTAAAACCGATTGAACAAAACAAAGGTGCGATAGGTATAGTGGGTGATATAAGGATTAGCCTGTGAATAGATACGATTTCGTATTTTTTAAACCGTTCCTCGTTTAAGTATGTTTCCATATTGCAGCCAGAATTACAAGGTTATGATTATATATAACAGTAATGGACTCGTGGCTTATTAAAATTGTTACACCCAACCTTAATCGTTGAACTCTAGATATATTGCTGTACACATATACATGTACGTACTGTAAACACAGATAATACGTCAACAAAACTGCCTTACCGATAACCAGTTACCTGTTAACTACCAGGTAACGGGTACATGTTTTGTATTACTAGTTGACTCTTAAGGGGGTGTTAAATTTCCACACAAAGCGTAACAGACAAAATTTACACAGGTTAGTCCAGTTGCTTATTTTAGGGTTCAATCATCGATGAACCCTCATCAGCGATCGACTTGGACGATGTGCAATATTTCACTCGAGCTTTCAGGGTTTTTTCATTCCGTAACATCGATTAACCGATCTTCCCATAGGCTATCGTACATATGTGTGCGTGTTATCGCACAATTGGGTTATCGACCGTTAAATCGCCCATTTGTTCAGACGATGAATGCACGATATGCGCGAGGTAATTTTGGTGAGTTGTGCCATCGAACAACTGTATAAATGAACTATGTCATTTCATAGCGTTTAGTTGCGTCGCTAAAAAGATTGACGATTGGTGTTTAGTCCGGTGAACTTTCTAAGGGAAATATTATCCTTAATGCCGTAATATTGACTACGTTAACCAAGCTATGGAACATTTTAACAACTAATGTTCAAGTGTGATATACTAAAATTATTGTATGCATTCCTATTTTTGATTGAGTTCTTTGAATTTAACTCATCGGGAGTGAAATCTAAGGCGACTATAGCCTCTTTCAGTGGGCTTGTCGAACATTATAACAGTAAAGCCAAATTACCCAAATTGGGCACCGCTCAAAAGTCCCCCGGGGGTCAGCTCTTCCTTTTGCACAATACAGAATCCCCTCCACCAATAACATGAAGTTAAATTCCAATCAGCGGTTAAGAAATCGTTTGCAGAAATAGTTGTTCGACGGACGAGACGCCACGGTACCACATTATATCACATTGTTCCTTTTGACCAGGTGAGCTTTATCAAAATGAAGAAATCGTTACCTTTTCATTATCCTTACAACATTGAGTGAATTTTGCTTGTCAAACTACTCACCTGATTAAAACAGAGAATTATAATACGAAGCACACAAGTGCGCATACACCACATGCATGGAGGCGCGTCCTTAAATTACCTTAATAGGAGGTTAAATAAAATAAAACGGAACCATATACGAGCATAGAAAATTAGTATCCAAATATGTTCAATTAACCCTGAGAAATGATAGCGAAAATTTAAAAGGATGACTTTTAATTTGTTCTGGGTTTAACGTCCTTGCAATTGGGAAGGTCATATTGAGTGCCGATGGGAACCCCCACCCCGATTCTGCAGGACTCCCTACGACATTCAGGCAGATTCAAGTAGGCCTATTTGGGTGGGTTTTTTTCACTTTGCGATACTCTGCACAACTAAAATTAAATTCGGAAGACATGTAAAACGTTTCAGGAATATTGGCCAATGACGTTTGCCAATATCTACAGCCGAGAATTAATCGATTTGTTTAAACTAACCACTACTTTGGGTGAAATAAATTTAAACGACTTACCAAAAATTGAATGGATAATCAAGACGAAAAACGCCACATGAAGCACCATCTTCTGTACCCTGCTATACCACCAGGTCAATACACTTACGTTGGCTGGTGATTCAGATATACCTTGTTAAGGAACGGTGAACACTTCAGAGTATAATTACATGTGCATTATTGATGCCAATATCGTTACGGCTGGCAGCAACATAATGAACGAGCAAGGTACTCGTGTGTGGACAAATAATTACCTTAATGACGTACTTGCAATTTGAATTCAATGATACAATACTGCAAACTAGCAAAAAACATCGGAACTTTAGGGATAGTTTCATACAAAGCATAACCTGCGTATTAATACCATTTTAATGTTCTTATTATTAGAAGCAGTAAGCCACAAATAAATATCTGTATCATACAACTACGTTTTATTTCCTAGCGCCTGTCTTGGCAACACCTCACATTTGGCTTGACTGTTGAGCGTTCAAGCAGGTGAGGAAGGCGAATGGTTCTGTCCCCATGCCGGGACATACAAAAGTCTTTAAAATGGTATTTGTAGTTGTTATTTCCTGCTTAACGTTCAGCATCAAGGGGATTGGCAGCAACTTGTTCGCCCGCTGTTAGTACAATGTGACCGGGCCGAATACTGTGCCTGGTGCCTTTGGCATGGCATTTCAGTGAGATAGCGCGTACAGTCGACATCAGATCCGCGCTATCACAAGAAGGCAAGCACACCAACACACCCTGTCTCCTGCACATACACACGCAAGCACGCATACACTACCCACATGGAGGCACGTCCTTAAATGTTCTTAGCTGTTAATAGGACGTGAAACAAAATTAAACCAAACCAAATTTGTCGTCCTTCTACGACTCTTAGGTGATGCTAAGGGAGAAAAGATGGAAAACCAAATTGGTTTAAACAACCTTTGAAACAGAATGGGAAGTGCGTAATACCATTTGATTTATGATTTCTAAAATTGAGAGGAGTACGACTTATTTTCAAGTTAAATAATTATTAAATCGTGTACATAATGAATCTTGTAACTACTAAAAATATAAAACTTTAGCCATCAAGGCAACGGCAAACATCTTGTACATGTGTCTTGAAAAATGAACGTTACACATGCACAGGGGATGATTGGAGCTATTCATTTAGTACTAGATACAGAATGCCAAACATGAATTATGCTGCATAATATAGCTTTTTAAGAATAATCGGAAATGAGGAATTTCTCTGATTTTAAACCTCTCATAACATTTCTTTAACCAAAATGAGAATTTTTGGCCTGAATAAATAATAGCTTAAGTATAATTTCATCTAATGTGGGTTCGTGTCGATAAACAAAAGTCGACTGCAGAGAGGAAGTTGTCCTCTCGTCCCTTCGGACAGGCCATACCTACTTCTATATGATGGTGTTCCATATGTTCAATTTTGTTTGTTTGTTTGTTTGTTTGTTTGTTTGGGGTTTAAGTTCCTCGCAACAGCCGGGGTAGAATATTGTATGATCTAATGTACCAATTTGAAACAAATGCGTGTAAATGTTATAAAGCAACAGTTTGATTGACACAGTTTCTCTCCAATAGCGATGTGATACATTTTGCAACCAATTTGTTTGCTATTGATGTTTGTGCATCCCTTTAGCACTTTTACTTAATTTGATAAGTTAATTTTATGAACGTCTACATTAATATTGTGTCGTTCTAAATGGCTACAACTGTCAATAGGCAAAACAAAAAAACAAAAAACAGAAAAACACCGGTGACAGTGTCATCATCTAAAATACACAAAGAATGGACAAAAACGGCATTGTACTCAGAAACCAGAACGGTCATGCTAATGGACAATTTAATGTTTAACGACTTTATACAATGTATACATGTGCCATGGAATATGGCTCTTTGTTGGTTTCGTGACAAATAAACAACAGAGAAATGCGTCATTCCACCTCCAACTTACTAACGTTTGAACACGCATCCATGACATATGTACTGTCGAGGGACGTTAGGTCCCCAGACGCGTCATGTACATGTTTCAGGTAAAAAGTCGTAGGGACTCTGATTACAATTACAATATGCACGGAAGACCAAACTAGCTTATTTGGCAATATAAGTTAAGGTGACTTTTCGTCTGAAAATATGCTTAGCTGGAATAAATTTCAAACGATGGGGAATATTGCACAATTCGAGGGCTGATCCGGGAAACGGAGGGGAGGGGCTGATTCCAATGGACATCCATTGAACCATTTTCGCATCACAGTTGTTGCTAATATTTCAATAATGAACCGTTTAAATACACACCAGTAATTCTGTATTTTCTTTTACAATTTGAACTCACATGGACAGAAGGAGTGAGCTGATGCCGTGGTGCGCGTCCGTTGTCAGTCCGTCCGCCCGGCGTCAACTTTTTACTTCAAATACTTTTTTTCTGAATAACAAGAGACCTGGGCGATAATATTTTGCCAGTAGTATGCTTGGATAAATGGCTACCAAATTTGTTAAAATATAAAGTCGTTTAACAACTTCTTCTGGTAACCAGAAGACCAGAAATTATGATATTTGTCCAATGACATGCAGGCTATCAAGTTTGTTCAGATCGTTGGCCTTGACTTATATTCAAGGTCACAGAGGTCAGTTATCTTAAAAAACGTCCAAACACCTTCCTCTGGATAACCAAAAAGCACAGGGTGATGCAATTTTGGCCTTTAACATGTTGGCATAAATGGCTGAAATGTTTGTTCATATGAATGACTTGCATATTCTAGACCTTTTGAAGGTTGCAAGTGTGAGCTCAATACCAGGTGAGTGAGGAAAGCCCATTGGACCTCTTGTTACATGTTGCGAGTCTTTTACATGATCACCTAATCACCTATTTCACAACGGCATTATGTTCACTTTTTCCGGTCATATGAACATTTGATTAGTGCACCCTTTTTATTTCAATTATGATGTGGTTCTTGTACATGTATTACACATTTTAGTTTTAACCATACAAAACGCACCATGTATCTGAACAATTTTATTGTTTTGCATCAAAAAGGTCGTAAAAAATCAACTAATAAGTGAAGTTACGATAATATTTGCATAAAATTGCATTATTTTGTATATTACACCATGAGAGTTATTTTCTAAATTTAAGACTATAATGTATTAATTTCTCATTGGCTACAAGGGTGCACTGAGGAGAAATAAACATAGATTGTATTGTTTACAGCGCCATGAGAACTCTTCTGTGTGTATACGTGCATCCTTGACAACGGCCATGGCAACACGTAATTGTAAAGCAGAAAATTTTAAAACTCAAGAAAAAAATTATCCCTGCAGGTAAGACACCGGGAAAAGAAAACACCTGAAGGCTTTGAATGTAATTGAACTACATACTGTCATGATAGTTTCTCTCGACGATTATATATTGATTGTTTGTTAAAGCTCAAAATGCAATTCTCTGAGCCTTGTGATGTACAGTGTACAATAACTTCAAATAAGATGTTCTTGCCAATCCATAAACAATGGACACGTAGTCCATTTTATATCTAACAAGCGCTCTATCGAGTCTTCTATCAGCTTCCGATTCAGTATGATATACTACTTGCATGTTTAGCGCTTTGATACATTTTGCTTTTAGGTTTTTGATATAATGACGAAATGATAACTTTCTGTCAAAATAAAGCCCAGGAAATTGTTTTGACCGGATGTACCATCGAGAGTGAGATATCCTCATTGATTGGACGTAAATGACAAAAATGCATGCACACCTTTTGGGGTAAGACAATTAAAAACTGTTTTAATCAGCCCAAGTTTGCAGTTTATTTAAACAATGCTGCAATGGTTTTCGAATGGTGTTCATGTGTTTTGACCAGTAGCATTTCAGAAAGTCATCCACGCAATGGCATCCCTGAACAGGCATTAAGAAACGTCTCACAAGTCAGAAACCCGGTAGAACTGTAAGACCGTTTTTTCTGTCATATAGACAGAAAAATAAATGACCAGATCACATTCAAATGTACGTTTAGGAACATAATTTATGCCACCGACCACAATACGAGAACTATCTGTAATAATACACCTTTGATCTCTTTACAAAATTGTAAATATTTCTGCAATATTCGTTCAAAACGTTTTTAATTTTTCGTTTCCATTACTTTTTCGTTTGTTTGACATACTTTCCTCTAATTTATTTGTATCAACAACTGTCGGCCCTAATGCCCTCCACTCCTCTGTGTTGATATGCCGTAAACAATGCTATTAGGATGATATATACACAGAAACGAGAACAATCCTATATATATTGGAAACTTAGGTTTTATTACTAGGTATAATAAACATGTGTTTATGCCTTGTGGAAGTAAAAAGCTCTAATTTGGTTTTATGACAAGTAAACAGCAGGCAAATGCCTCGTTAAGGCTCTGAAAATGGATTTAACCACGACGTATCCGTAATTAAATGCAGCTCGGGGGACCGACAACATCCTGTCCCCACGCTACCGTCTTGTCACTCTCGAATTCTCTGGCGAGGCGGTAGCAGGCATTTTTGTCTGTTTGATTCATCTAGTTATGCACCTGAATAGATGATTTGAAAATCAACGAAGTTTTAATCAAATAGATATACTTACATCACCCCGATAATTCAGGGGATTATTTAAGTGTTTCTTGTGGGTTTTATCACATACCTGTTGAATCTTCTTATAGTAATTCAAGCAATTTTCAGACCATGAAATACAACGTTCTGTATTGCACATGTGAAATACGGAATGTTGTATTTACCTACTAGCCAGGACTCCTTTTTATGGGAATCTCCTTGTCATGGCGAATTGAAAAGTTCCTGGTATTTGCAAAAAATATCAAAGTTTATAAAATCTTTGCACGATCTCTACCGAATACGGAAGGTATGTGATAAATATTCGCACTCGTGAATATATTCGTCCGCGCAATAAACTTGTGCTTTCTGATTCGTTAGAAAAACACAAGTATGTTGTCATGCATATGTATATACTGGCGCTTCATACGTAATCAATGGATTAATTTAAAATAACAAGTAAAAATTGTATTCCATATTTCATCTAAATACTTGCATATTTAGCAAAGAATTTTACTCTATTTTACATGTGTATTGAGTATTGTCTCCAAGTTTAATCCCCGTATCATTATGATACGTCAATACTCATTGTGATAAATATGATACCTCTGGTCAATTAAATATAAAGCAATTTCCACTTCAAATTCCGGTTACTTATCTCGTGTTTTCAGATCAGTGTCCAGTCAGAGAGGAACTTGCTTGCCTACTTGCGGAAGTATTACCTCGTTTCAGTCTGGACGTTCAAACTACGATGTTGACATCGAACTGAGTGCGAGCCTTGCACAGTTCTGTTTTACATATCCTTTTACTGTTAATTTATTTATTTTAATAGATTTATGAAATAAGACTTTTTCTCTCAATTACGTTTGTCTGTAATTATAAACGCTTTCATTCTCACTCTTTAGATGTTTGACAGCACGATGTTAAGCATCTGAAGAGGGAACATGACAGCGCTTGTTTTGATTCTTTTCCAGTATAAATATATTGTGATTAGCTTTAGTTATTTGAACTTAGGCCCCTAAAGGACATTAGCTGTCAATAGAACGTTAAACCCTATAAAACCAAATACAATCGTTCAAAAATAACAAATGACGCTGAGCGACCGAGCCATGACGGGTCTGATGCTACGTTTATTTCTGATCCCAAATACTGACGCCTAGTTTCCATTATTACCACGTGCAATGGTACTAATTGCTCATGATGATAACAAAAGACTTTGAATTATAAGCGTCAAGGATATGTATAATGAATTTTGTAAATGAGCTGTAGTGTATATCTGTATTGATGCTTCTTATCATCCCATCAACGTTAATCCGTCACCCAGGTTAAACGGTGCGAAACTATAATCAGCCGACCAGAACCAATGGAATTGGCAGACACACAACATGAATATAGTATAAGCAACACACTATGCTACTGTCGCGTTGGCATATCCATAACTTTTATTTCGAGAGGATAGTCGTATATTGATAATAATGAGATTTATGAGACGAGTCTAAGAATGTTTCAAAATTGAGCGAGCCGCTGGCGAGATAAAATGAAAAACTTGTGACGAGTTTCATAAATTTCATATGAAATGAAAACGAGTGTAAGATTCATTTTATCACATAATCAACATTTATGGCATTTACTCGTGTAAAACAACAATGTTCATGCTGCCTTGAAAGGTAAAAAGCCGCCATTTTGACACCAGTGCGTAAGTTTGTGACGTCATGTACTTGACCTAGGCGTAACGTCACAATTGAAACAGTTGAAACTTACAACCAATCGCAGGCTGATAGGTCATATGACATGGGTATATTCACTGGATAACACTGTATATTATGTGATAAAATCAAAAATGTACCATTAAAACATCGGCCATCGTGGTCAGTCATGCGAATCACTGTTTACGTTGTGTTTCATTACTTCCGCATTTTCACATTGAAACAAATTACCTTGTACAAATCTTGCTATAACCAAATTGATACATATTGCCACCGGCATTATGGTGACGATTTTTAATGACATCATTTTGGTGCAAATCGTGTTCTACTGAATTCACATTAGTCAAAAGCATACAAAATGCACCCACACATGAATTTGTAGAGGGATCTTGATATTTTTGCAGGACGCCATTTTCACATAGTTACAGTGCACTGGATTTGTATAAACGAGGAAAGCAAAAAATCGTAACGACCTCGAGCTTGTGAACTGGTGTAAGCACGTGATAAGTACATGTAACGTACACAAAACATCAGTCCGCATCCAATGCGTTTCGTTTACATTTAGTCGTCTGGTATCATGCCAGTGTCTAAGAGCCAATGTATGTATCTGTATCGGAAGCTTTATTGCTGAATGTAAGTTTATACGCATGTCCCAGTGAAGTCTCGATAGCGGGTGTAGACATAGCATGTGTACTAGTGTTTACCCGGTGTTACTATGATTTACACTACAGTGTTGAGATGCCCGATACGTAATACAATGCGACACGACAATATGACAAGAAAAACATGTATATGACGAAGGGTGGTAAGGCCTTAAGGTAATAGGATTGTGTCACCATTTCTCAGTAGAATTTCTTCAAATTTTGTAGTTATATTGCTTTAAAGTAAAGAAAATTTTCTGCCACAAAAAAAATATAGGTTGTCAGAATTTTAAGGATTTTAAATGGAAATTTATGTAAAAAGGAGTGAATTTTGAAAATAAAATGAAAACCACAATATTTTTACAAAATAATGTCAATAAAAAATATACTGACATATATTAGTATTGCATTAATGTATATCAATTTAATAAATGCTGAAATTGTGTAAAATTGATTCTCTATACACGTTATAAAAATTGACATTTTATAAATATTTTAATATTGAGAGAACACACTGTTCTGTCAATAATAAATATACAATATTCATCAGTTTAATATTAAACATTAGAATTTGCGGAAATTGTGATACTGTCAAATTAATTTGAAATGACCCCTTTGGCTGAGGAGGGAGGACTTAACGAGATACGAGGTATCGTAAAGCAGTTGGCTGCAGATATGAAGACCCTTAAGGAAGGAAAATTCCAGGGTAAGTATAAGGGGAATCAACAGAAGTACAGACAGCCTGAACAACAGGGATCATGTTAACAGTCAACCACCAGATCTACTTGGGCCCCTACATAATCAGATGTGTTTGTTGAAGGTATACCAGCGAAGGCGCTATTGGATACTGGATCTACTGTATCTACTGTTGGCAGGACCTTCTACAATCAGCATCTTCGCCATTTTGATATACAACCTTTAGATAATATCCTTAAGATAGAATGTGCTGATGGACAGGATTTACCATATGAAGGATTTATTGAAGCTGCCATTACAATCAATGGAACAGGTCTATCTAATGAAGATAATAGGATTGATCACGGCATATTTCTAGTGGTACCTGATAGCACCTACAGCTTGAAAGTACCCATACTCATTGGAACCAACATCATGTGTGTTGTGATGGAGAAGGTAAGCATCAACTACGGACCCACATTTCTACAGAAGGCCAGACTTACTACACCATCATATTTGTCATTCAGATGCATGGTCCTACGGGAGAGGGAATTGGAGAGAAGAAACCATCGCTTAGCCATTGTGAGGTATGCTGGAGACACGCCCATTACCATCAAACCCAACTCAGAAGTTATGATGGACGGGATGACAGGATAGCAATTGGCTTATCCGCCAGTTTGCGCTGTTCTGCAACCCACTGCTAATTCCCGCATCCCTAAGGACTTAGACATCACTCCATTACTAGTGCCGTACAGTTACGGTATGAGCGACGTGAAGGTCCATATCACCAACTTGTCGACGGCTACTGTTACCATTCGGCCGAGAGCCATACTATGCGAGATGCAGCCTGTCACAGTTGAGGACTCTACACCAGAGACGACTCCTGATATAACTGATAATGTCTTGGAAAAGATAGAAGTCTGCACAGATGGATTGTNAGTGGGCGGTGACAGATAAGTTTGCCGATTACCTTGTGGGATGTCCGTTTACTGCTATAACAGATAACAACCCCCTGACGTATGTGCTATCATCAGCCAAGCTTGATGCGACATCTCAGCGTTGGGTGGCAGCACTGTCCAACTTTGATTTTAGCATCCAATACCGACCCGGTGTCAACAATGCCGATGCTGACGGAATGTCTCGCCATCCCAGTCTGCAGAATGATGAGGAAATGGTCATCATCTCCGAGGATGTCATTAAGGCAATGAGTAAAGGAATCTCGGCCTCGCCATATATAGAAACCATCGCAATGTCCGCACAAGTTCTTTGTGATGCGTCTACATCTTCTGCGTCCCAGTTTTTACCGGAACTCCAAGAGGAACAGCGGAAGGATTCGCTGCTAGGATTCTGGATACTTTTTGTGGAGTCTGGTTCTAAACCGAAGAATGATGACTTGCCGCCAGGACCTCGTTACTTAGCCATGATGAAGAACTTTGACAGACTTAAACTTGTGGATAGAATTCTGTGCAGAGTAGTAATATCTGATGGAGATACCAAGACGACTCGGATTCTATTGCCTAGATCCAATGTTCCTACAGTTCTGACTATGTTACACAACGACTTGGGACATCAAGGACGTGACCGCACTCTATCCTAAGTGAGAGATCGCTTTTACTGGATTGGCATGACCATGGACATTGATGAGTGGGTGAAGTCGTGTTCGCGTTGTGTACTTAGGAAGAAACCAGCCAATACCTGTGCTCCGCTTGTTTCCATCAACACTTTCCAGCCTTTGGAATTAGTTTGTATGGACTTTCTATCATTGGAGACTTCGAAAGGTGGAGTTGAAAATATACTGGTAATCACAGACCATTTTACCAGATATGCAGTTGCTGTACCTACTAGGAACATGACAGCTCGGACTACTGCTGAGGTATTTTTTAACCAGTTCGTTGTCCATTATGGATTACCTCGCAGGATTCATTCGGACCAAGGTCCAAATTTTACAAGTCATCTAATGAAGGAGCTCTGTAAAATAACCGGAATAGAGAAGTCGCCCACAACTCCATACCATTCTATGGGGAATGGCTTATGTGAGCGCTTTAATCGTACTCTCCTCGGAATGCTCGGAACTCTTTCACCAGAACAGAAGGACTGGAAATCGCACGTCTCTAGTATGGTACACGCGTACAACTGTACTCGACAAGAATCTACAGGTCAGAGTCCATATTTTTTTGATGTTTGGACGAAATCCTAGATTGCCAGTAGATCTCGCCTTTGGTTTGAACACAGACGCTGAAGCAGTTTCCATGACAAGGTACATAGACGACATCAGGCAACGCTTGATTAACGCCTCTGAGCTTGCTGCATCACATTCAGCTAAGGCCAAGGATAGACAGAAAGGACATTACGACAGTCGTGTTCGTGAGGCAGTTATCAACACTGGAGATCGAGTTTTAGTGAAAATTGTGGCTTTCACGGGAAAACATAAGCTATCCAATAAGTGGGAAGAGGAACCATATATTGTAACGGAGCAGTCAAACCCTGATATTCCTGCATATATTGTTCGGAAGAAAAATGGTGAGGGTCGGCCTAGGACGTTACATCGAAATCTCCTCTTGTCTATTGGATATCTCCTAGATACTACAGTAAGGAAACCACAGCCGGCTCCTAGGAAAAGGACACCTGTGGCTAGGAAGGTGCCTTCAAGTGATGAAGGGTCCACCATTTCATCGTCAGAGGGGGAGGAAGTGCTAGTTGGAAGGACAGATGTTCAACAAACATTTACTCCGGACCATCCACTAGCCGAGTCAGAAGATGAGCCTCAAGATGATGCAGAGTCACAGTCACAACTAGAAGGAGATGGAGGAGTCCCACAGGACAGCCCTGCTGCGCCTAGGAGGTCGCGGCGTCCGAGGGAAAAGCCTGTGTGGATGAGGAGTGGACAGTTTGTTATGAGGAATCAACTAATGGTCGAAGAGCCAGAGTGGAAGCAGAGGCCAAAGTGTTTGACGGAACTTANAGCCCTGCTGCGCCTAGGAGGTCGCGGCGTCCGAGGGAAAAGCCTGTGTGGATGAGGAGTGGACAGTTTGTTATGAGGAATCAACTAATGGTCGAAGAGCCAGAGTGGAAGCAGAGGGCAAAGTGTTTGACGGAACTTGCAGACACAGGAATCCTATCAGGAAAAGAAGACCAGGTTGCCTTAACATTGCTTCAGATCCTCTCCGGAAAGATATCGTGACTGCTATTGTTTCAATACCCATGATGGTTTCATAATTGTATTTTGTTTACCAATTTGCTATTGTGCATCTCTTGTCGAGGACGACATTTATCAAAAGCAGGGGAGAATGTAACAGGGTCAATTTTATTGTCATATATAGTAAATGTTATAATTGTGTATAAATATCCATTTGTATGTGCCCAGGGTGTTTTGTGTATTTGTTTGTCCATTTGTTGGTGTTACATGTTACAGGGTGTGGTGTTCTATGTATTTTGTGTAATGTGTTGCTATTTTCAGTGTAACAATTTACACCCAGTGATTTAAGTCCAGAGTCCATGTTCTTGTCTTGCTTTTTATTGGTCGCTATTTTTATAATCCCTTGTTGGTCAGTCTTGGCGGGAATATCATTGTTAGGTCAGTTAGACTCCTGCCTGCCAAGCTGATCAAAAGCTCTATCTACTTGTCTTTAAAATATTTCAGGCAGTTACAAAGTAAGTTTCTATGTTTTTCTGCAAATTATTTCTTGTGTAATATTAGTTTTCATTAATATATAAAGTAACTTCAATAAGTCATAATGTTGAAGTATTTGGTATATTTAGTAATTTTCTTAATTTCAAAATTACAGCCATAGAGCTAGAAGTATATGTTTCATAAAAAATGGTGCAAAGTTCAGTTTGAAAGTTGTCTATTTTGATATATCTATGTATTTGCAAATGTAATAGTAGTAAGGTAATTGTTTGTATTATTTTAGAATCATTCGAAACTTGTACAGAGGTGGCAGTAATAGAAGCATCTAGGATGGTTCTGTGCCATACAAAGATATTTGCCTTATTACATGTTTAAATTGTTTAGTGGTAATGTCATATAATTATTTATATGATGCTATTTCCATGTTGATATATATATGATAGATTGTAGATCATTTCTATAGTTCTGATTCTTATCAATTTAAATGTAATGTTATAATAACTTGAAAGAAGTTATTATTTGTATTGTTGGATTAAGATCTATGAAATTGTAAATCTTAAAGATTCTATCTCATTTAATATATTATGATTATTTAGTAATTCCATTTGAAATGGACTTATCGATGTACATCATAATAGTGAGTTGTGTCCCTTGATTATACATGCGTGTAATTTACACTGCTCTCTCTACTCAGTGTTAAGTATATTCTTTTATGTTTATTTCAGAGTGTCTACAGAATACAATAAATATACAGTATGTAAATACATGCTATCTATGCCACCTGCCCTGCCTCTGTGAACTGTACTGTACCAAGCATTGAAGAATAAAGAACTCATTATTACTTAAACAACACCAGTGTTCTCTATTTATATGGAACACAACGGTTACATTCTTTCCTTGCTTAACATTTAGCATTTAGGAGAATGTCAACAACTGCTTCACCCGTTGTCAATATAATGTGGCCGGGCGTAATGCTGTGCTGGGTGCCTTTGGCATGGTATTTCAATGAGATAGCGCGGATCTGATGCCGTCTTTATAATGCTATCACCAGGAGGCAAGTACGCCAACATACCCTGTCGCCGGCACAAACATACCTCAGCTGTCAATAGGACGATAAACGAAATAACGAACAACCACACCAACACACCCATAGTAGTAACGGAGATAGTATACCTTGTCAGGTGAATCACTGTTAATATTGTGCCTCATTAATAAACCTTGGAAATTACACAATTCCTTCCGTGTTTGGTACAAAACTTAATATATTGATTCACATTGCTGCCGGCATTATGGTGACGTTTAAGGGTCACGTGTACTTTCGTTATTGCACGTGACTGGTGAACGATGCAATGAGTTCAAATTTGCCTAGTGCATTCCTTACATGCAAAGCGTATGCTACCTAAAACAGATTAATCAAAAGCACACAAAATGCAGTGTATTGAAAAGATAATATTTTGTTTCTTCGCCAAGATTAAATAGTCGCTGTTGATGCTGATAATGAAAATAAATAGTGTGTGCGTGTTGTTTTTTATCGACAATACCTCGCATTTTGTTTTGGTGTTAAGTGTTTGACCAACCGAGGGATGTTATGTGCTGTGATCCCCAAACCACGACAAACTATAGTCTTTTAAATTAAGCTTTATTTTGGTAACGCTAAGGACTGGTTTACTCAGAAGTAAAATGTGACTGGGAATTTCAGTGAGGTAGCACACAAAATCGGCATCAGATTCGCGCTATCTCCGGAAGCTAGGTTTAATATTGTTAAGGTTTTTATTCGCTTAAAGTCCTATCAACAGCTAATGTCATTAAAGGGCGTGCCTCCATGTGTGTGTTGTGTATGCGTGCATATATGTGTGTGTGCAGGAGGCAGGGCATGCTGGTGCAGGGCGTGCATGCCTCTTTGTGATAGCGCGGATCTAATGTCGACTTCATAGTGCTATCTTGCTGAAATACCATGTCGAAGGCAACCAGCACAGCATTCCGCCCGAGACCAATGAAAAAGGTCTCGCATCTTTACTAAGAAAGGCGGCTATTGGTTGTGTGATAACACGTGCGCATTGAAAAGTATGTCCAAGTTTGGCATGGACCATGTCTACAAGCCTGGTGAAGAACAATTACTACCATGCGTAGTATTCAAACACTTTTAGCTTGTTTCGGACCTTGGTACTATACCGTGTTTCCATCGGAGATGCGTAGCGATGTTGGTTGTATTGCCGCTTTTGTAACTATTTTCAATGCATTTTTATCTTGATTTTAGGCCCTGTGACTTCGCCCTCGTTCATTATAATATTATAATTTCCGGAACGAACCGAAACGAACCGAAACGGAACGAAAGCCGAATCGTGAAACAAACCGTCGTCAAAAATCGCTGATCACCGAGAATTGCGGTGACTCCTTTCACTCCTACTCTTTTCGGATATTTTACGTTTCCTGTCTTATTCCTTTCTTCCCTATCCACTTCCTCTTTCCGGTGGTGTCTTCCTAGGCACTCGTACTCGTGTAACCCTTGTTGTTGCAATGATGTTTAAATTCAAACAAACAAACAAAATACACCACGAAAAAGAAAAACGTAACTTGTTCAAAAATGTATCTTTATAAATCCCACCTTCAGAATCGGGGTAGTTTCTTCCTTATCTTCTTATATTTAGAAGACATTGATATCAAATATAACCCTGCAGTATCCCACTGCATGTGAATCGTAGAAGGCGACTAATGTGTGACCCCCTGCAGAATCGGGGGGGGGGGGGGGGTTCTTCCTTGTCTTCTGTTAAGGATGTAGGAACGACCCACAAATAACGCTGCTGTATCCCAGTACATGTGTATCGTAGAAGGCGCCTAATGCGGGACCCCTGCAGAATCAGGGGTGTTCTTTCGTGTCTTCTACTAAGAGGACATGGAAGATACCACACTTTATCTGCTGCCCCCTTTGCAACACTAGTGATCTTTTTCGTTTCCTACCTTACCTGTCATTTTTCCTTTCTGTTTACAATGTATCAGGTGGTGTCTCCATAGGCGCCTTCCTCGTCAGGACGTCAGGACGGTGTTCGACCGTATCCATTACGCTAATGAAACGTTATACTGTGCTTGTGCTTCAGTGGGATTTCGTCGTTCTAGACATGTTTGAAGCTGTACGTTAAGCTCTCCTATCCAATTCACAGAACTAGCCATTTTCGTTTCGTTTTCTAAATGTTTATTTTTGTAACATTTATGTTTGCGAAATGTCTATTTTCATACTTTTTTATGCTTTCATAACCGCCTTCACGGGGGGAATATAGGCGAATATCCGCTAGATATTTATTATGTGTGAATCAAATAACTCAAATCATACGATATTACATCTTTTGTAGCACTCAGTCATAAAATATTAGACCTTATTATCTTATAGATCGTTTATATCGAAAAATGACATTTTTAATTTGAGGTTTTCACTGAACATCTTGACAAATTACTACTCGCTTTGGACTCCACAAAGGAAAGAGAAGTAACTCGTGTATTTGAAGTGTGCTTTTTGATATATTTGTATTTCTATTTGAGGATCACCGTACTACTGCCAAAAGCTGTAACTAAACATTAGAAATTGCTTTTTTTACGGCATGACTATGACTTCGATAAATCATTGCTGAAAAGCCCCGTACCCCGAGGGTTTTTTACGAAAAATAATACAAATGAAATAAACAAGATATAATCAACAACAGAGTGTGAAAATTCGGTGAGCTACACCTGGGCCCGTATTCATGGAGCCGTTCTCATGCTCAAGCATGGATTTTGTGTTCAAGCCTAATTTCTTGTTCTGGTTATAACTCGATAAATAAATCTTACTTTGTCAATGATTTGGAAAATTTGTGAAGAGACTTAAAGCCAAATACTGTTTTCAATGTTTACATTTGACTTTTTGTTCGTTTGACATGATCTAAGCGAGTTACCAGAAAGTTGGTTTGAGTACAGATTCCATACTTGAGCATGATAACAGTTTCATGAATACTGGCCCTGGACTGGAACTCTGGCGTTCAGATAGTTATACTATCTCTCTAACTGGGTGAGCTAAAATGTACTTGGTAAACGGAGTATTTTTTATTTTAAGTTCAAATATTTTACTTCCTTAACAAGTGTTTGAGGAGGGTGCCAGGGATAAGGAGCCTGGGGTCATCCCTCTTTACAATGCATTGTCCTCTTACAGGAGGGCTTTCATTCAACATTCATATTTCTTTAACTTTCATTCATCATATTTCATAAATTGGATGGAGATACTAAAACATTTAAACCTAACTTTAAGGACGAACACTTACGTACATTGATACATTGTTAAACACAACACGTACATACAATAACATACAATAACATATATACAAACATACAAACATACACACACACATATATATACATACATAGACACAAAAATATAACCTAAATACTTCATACAAATTTGCATACAAAACATACATTTGAAAACATGGCACAATACCAACATAAATAAGTATAAATTATGTACGAAAAATTATATCATCCGGTTGTGTTATATAAAAGGAATACTGTTAAGTAGGTCATTGTATACCAATTATATCAATGAAAGTGGCTATTTGGATATGTCATTGTGCATATAATATGCAGGGACCATTTTCTCCAATATCCTAGAAACCTCTATGACTCATAAAATTTACTGTTTGAAATGTTAAATGTTAATCGGACGATCTGGAAAGGCGGTCGTCTATCACTATTGTTTACTACAGTTAACGTCCTGTCAACTTCGAACAGAGTCACGGTCACGTGATGTATCTGAACGAAACGGGGACTTTGCTACAAACACCGGCATATAAACATTATAAAACAGTTTTCCTTTTTTCCAATGACCCTGTGAAGGTTCGGGGAAATAAAAACAAACACACTATATCTCACTGCATGACGGCATGGTATTTCAGTGAGATAGCACTATGAAATCGGCATTAGATCCGCGCTATCACAAGGA